AGTGGACTCTCCCCAGGCAAACTCCCTCTGTTAGCCTCTCTGCTGTTCGCCGCTCAGCTGGTTCGCAGCTGACTGGCTTTTTATAACAATTAGGCCCACTCAAGGCTCACCTGGAACAAAGCACTCCCAATTCAAACTTTTCAAACAAACAACCAATCAAGCACACTGTCAAACTGTCTCCACAACAGATACTCACCAACACAGCCTCCCTAATGCAGCCCTTAGCTTACCTTCTCTCAGACAGATCCCAGGCAAACTCCCTCTTTGTTAGCCTCTCTGCTGTTTGCCGCTCATCTGGTTCGCAGCTGACAGGCTCAGTGGTGCCCTCTTCAGTCCCTGCACTGGGGGCACCGATTGAGGGACTCGAGGCATACCTCACCAGTAGATTGGCGCAGACCCTCTGAGGCATGTGCCATCCGGCAAGAACTCCAGGACCAGCCCCAACCATCTTCAAGGGCCCAGGACCGATCCTGGGACCCATCGGGTACCAGAGACCACCGATTGCCAGGCTGTCATCGCCCGTCTCCAAAAGGAAGGTCTCCCTACTCAGGACGATCCTCCCAGCAACTCGCTCATCATAGCACCCAGTCCCGTTCGATGTCTCAGTACCGGTCGAGTAGCGTGAGGCGTGGATCGCTGAATATCCGATGCAGATCTGCCTAATGCCATCGATCCCTGAGAGCCAGACCAACACAGTCTCGCTCGGACAGGTCAGGATGCAGCCACCGGCACCGGTTGGACAAGAGCCACTGCTCAGCCTGATCCTGGTCGCCCAGAACTGACCACTCCGCTGGTACCAATGGTGCTGACTATATTATCAGCACTGAAACCTGCCCCATGGCCCCAAACGCAGTGGCCAGTGCCATGATACCAGTGGAACCCTTGGGGTTCACCCAGTCTTCCCAGGCTTCCCGATCAGTGTCAGGAGCCTTGGAGAGGCCAGCGGGCTTGGTATCCCATCCCCGTCCAGTGCTGGAGACTTCAGGGGGTAAGACCCTGCAGATCCAGGAGAACCCAGGGGAGCAAGCTGCTTGACCACCAATGGATGTGGAGGTTCCCGGGGCACCATCATCGTCCTCATCGTTGCCAGACATGGCTATCACAGGGTTCCCTTGGCCAATTCCTCAGGATGATGCCAAGGCGGACCAGGAACTTTTGAAGAGGGTCAGGTCTAACCTTTAAAATAATCAGTAGGATGTTTTTAACACCCTGTGTGGATTCCCCTTTATTTGCTGATGAGATTCCATCTGTGCACCGCTGTTAAATGATGCATGTGACATCACTAAACTGTTCCCACAGGCCAATCAGAGTATGCTTTTGGACTATCTGTGTCCCTAGCAGTCTTAAAATACCATCTTATCATAGAATCAGAATTGGTAAACAGCAGCTATCTAGTATGAATAGCTAGATTACGTTGCAGTGTGGGATTGCATATTTAGCGAATTAGTTATTCATAGCACTGACAGACTTTCTCCAGCTAATGTGCATAAGTTTTGTGACAAAGTGCAATATATTTTATTTCTGTGCACATCTCAGATTGCTTGTAATTTAGTAGGGCCACCACAATTTCTGGGCAAGCTATCAAGTGGGATGTTGTAATGATTTGCATGACTACTATGGTAAATGGAAAAATGTAGCTTGTGTTTGTAGCTGTTCCATTGGAGTCTTGCAGTTTTCTCTCTTTTTAGTGCTTTTTAGAAAACTATGTAACAATCCTTAGCTATTTTGCAGACTGCTGTCTGGTGAAACTACCTATGCACTGTTTAAAACTTTGTGCATAATGAATTGATGAGAACAAAGGAAAGATTTTTATCCTTTGAGAAACGCAGATAACTAATAGAATCTTGAAGTTATCAAAACATATTTCTTGCCAAAGAACTTGGAATTCATGGGATTCAATTACTGGAAAAATGCCTGAATTAAAAATTGTCCTGTGAGGACCAAGAAACTAGAACCAAATTCTGGCACAGTACAGTTTTCTCCCAAAATGGACATTAATGTGTAAAAACAGGGTAGGGTGAACAAATGCTTGGCCCCCTACCGCCAATCATTCCTGCCAGTGCAAGATGGAAGATCAAAAATTGGGGAAGGGAAAGAAAAGTCATAGGCCATACCCCTCCCACCAATGCTGAAACACTCTTCTGCAGCTCCACTTGTAAAGCACCTGTTGGCAGCTGTGGAGCCGTTTCTGTACAGGAGGTGGGACAGAATAAGAACAGAAAACCTAGGTTCTGGGTTCCCCCATCAGACATGTAATTTGGTTCTTAGTTTAGTGCAATACAGGCAAGGCATGAGCAATGAGAATTATAATAAGTGGGGAGTCAGGGGGAATAAGCAACCTAGCTGACTTAGGAATAACAGTGAGATTCTTGCTTTCCAGAAAAATATGATTAAAAACAACGTTGAACTGCTGCTACTTTTACTGCATGTCCCTGCCAGTATATATTAATATTCTGGGCATATACTACTTGTGTTTTCTCCCTTTAATCCAGCCTTGAAAAATAAAATTTTATATGGGGGTGGGGGTGGAGAGGGGAGAAGAAAGTATGAAAAAACAATAACTAAATATTAATTTATGTAGGCATTCAGATATAGTATTGATGGCTGAGGTAAAAATAGCTATCTAGCAAGTTTTGTATGTTCCATAAACTTCCCATACAGCTATAATTGAGAAATGAGGAAACCTTGTTATTTTGTCAGTATGTCCAAAAATTGGTGTAGGTGTACAGACTTAAATACCTCAACAGCAGTATGTAAAACAGCTGCTCTGAGATGTTTTGCTTAATACTTTGACCAAGATTTTGAACAAATGATATTTCATGGAAATATACCAAATACTTTTGTATCTCCAAATACGGAGTAATCATTATTTTGAAATAAAAGTATAAAATAAAGTGTGTGCAGGTTTTTTAAAAGAAATCTAAAGTAAATAAAATGAGTCCACAAAATCTAGTTTAGAATCAGTGCAATGTAATTAAATTAGTCTTTTAACCACGTGTTCCTATTACTCTTCCCCTTGTCTTAATTTCTTGTGTGCCTTCTCTGTTTTTTATTACACCCAGTTGTCTCAGCTTTTCGTTAATTAGAACCCGATTCTGCAACCATTTATGTTCATAATAACTTTGAATACCTGCAAAAATATGGGCAGGATTAAGCTCTTAATTTGTACAGCACCAGCATAGTGGAGCTCTGATCCTGAAGGGGCCTTTGGATTCGAATGTGAAACAAATATGAGGATGGAAGTTCTAATCATATGGGGGTGTACAGGTGTGTCTGTGATTAGCTTTCTTTACTTCAGATTTATGGCTCCAGTCCTGCAACTGACACAAAGGAACTACTCATGTGCTTATAATTAAGTATATACTTAAGTCTTTGCAGGATTGGAGCCTGAATTATTATCTGTATTATTATATAAATAGAAAATCTCTGATATTTTGAGGCACATATACCAACAGAAAATACGATTTTTTTTTTTTTTAGCTGAAATGGACAGAGAGGAATTGTTGGTCAGGTGGGTGGAAAACAAAAGGTCACGTTTTAAAAATGTCCCTTAATTTCATGGACAAATCATACCATACCATAATACTGTACTGCTATGCATTTTCTCCGTACTTCTATATTAACCACAAGGAAATTAGGATATCATGGTGTAGCAGCTGACAAAACAATTAAGATGGAAATAATTTCCTCCATGCTATTTGTTTAATAGTTTAAATGTTTTGCTCAGTTATATATCATATTGTATGTAGGAACTGCTATGCCTAGATTTTATGGGAAGTTTGAAAATAATGTCTGGAGTTTGAATCCAATTTTATTTACTCAAGTGTGAAGAAAATACACTTTTCTGATTTGTTCTACTTGAAAGTTTGTATTTTAATAGCTCAGAAGTAGTTGAAGCTAGAAACATTGAACTGAGCTTGGTTTATAGACAATATTTGGGGAAAAAACAACTCACAGCCCCGATTCTACAATAGACTTCATGCAAGCAGACCTCTACACCTGTACAGAGCCCCATTGACAGGTCCAGCCATGCTGCATCTGCTGCACCATCAAGGCCCAATGCTACATTAAATTGGTTTAATACTTTGAGTTGTGAACACTTAAAAATTAAATTTTCACTCATAGACATTAGAACAATCCTAGCAATGCACTTTTGTTGTGGACCGATCAGTACAGTGGTTTCTGGTATGTTGTTGTTTCGAATGGAGGCGTCTGGATGGGTGGGCATGGAGCAGTGAATGTAGAAAACGGCAAGCAGATGTCAAGGAGCTCTGATGTGTGCTAGAAGAGTAGAGTGTATAACAACTTGTAGATAAGAGAAGTGCTCTTACTTCAAGAGTCAGTAATTGCAGCCGCACTGGGAATGACTACATGTGCCTGTGGGGGATCCAAACTGGAGCATACAGTTTGGATCCTCCACTTTCCCACTGTTATCATGAATAGCTCATCACCAAAACTTACTACCTCAAAATGTGTCTACGGTGACTACTAACGACATCTTTGGTCTGCCCTCTGATCTCAGTGTTGCATTTATATTGGCCAAAATGGTACAGAAAAAGAACTTTCACTTTTATAAATGATGAAGCTGAGAGCAGTCATTTTAAAAATAATCAAAACTGTTACCATAGAACAAGTTTAGTTCTTGGGAATAATGGTTCAGTACACTGAGTTTTTAATACTAATAGTAATACTCAGTCCCTATATTTATTTATGTCTTCTTGTTATTGAGTGTTCATTGAAAGTTAATCTATTTAGTTGTTTGAGAGGAAAGAGCTTACTTTTCCATAAATATTTTTTTAAAATACAATATATTTCAGAAGAGCATCTTTACTATGTAATATATGTTTTTGTACTTTGCCCTCGGCTTTTAACTCCGTTTCCTTCATTGTACTCAGCTTTCTATTTTCACATTCACACTTAGAAAACTATTGGGGTCAGTACAACAAAGACTGCTGTTTTTACAAATGTTGATTAGGCCTCTCTTCTTTATCATCTTACAGGTCTTGTAGAAATTTGCCTCATGCACCCTCTTGATGTAGTGAAAACCAGGTAAGGTTCTGCTTGAACAAGTTTTATTGACACTGGAAACTGTCCAAATTGGGAGCTGTCAGAAAATAAAATGCTAGAACTTGTTCAAGTAAGATAACTTCTCCATTTAATGGCATTTGTGTTTACTTACTGTTTTTTATAGCACTTGATAGACAGAATTTGAATGGCATGATGCATTTCTAGTTAGAGGTCATCTGAAGGTGTTAAATACTTTTTATGAAATACAGTCTTCAAATAATAGCAAAAGGAGATCGTATTAAATAAAAGTTGAACATTTAAATTTGCTTAAACTAAAATGCCATATTGCCTTAGAAATATTTTGAGACCTGCTGCAATGGGTCATGCTTTCAAAAGTTAGTACAAAAGGATGCTCCCCAAATTAGCACATGAAAATTGGTTATTTCACGTCAACTATATTTTTCCCTCCATTTTCCTGCATTAGCCATACAAATTTGTGTTTTTGTGAGTACACATGGTGAACCAATTTTGAAAAAAATTGTCCTAAAATTTCTGTTCTATCATATCTTTCATTTAGAAGAAAAAAAAATCTATGGTATTTGATTTCTGGCTATTGGAACTTGACATCTGAATTCATAATGTAACAAATCTACGTAGACGTTACTAGTACCAACTTTTTGTGAAACTGACTGTAGTAAAGCGCTAGCATTGCCAGTTGAAAAGTGAGAATTGAAGAAGGTGCCTGAAGTAGGAAAAAGAGACAGCAGTTCTCTGGGATGCTTACAGTGATATTGAAAGTTTGTAAAGACATTTTCTGCTTTTTTTTTATAATTACGCTAAGGACTGTGGAGAAGGAAGTGATTCCATATTAGGAATTTTCTCTGAATTTTCCTCAGCACAGTATCCACAATTCTTGGTCTCTTCAGTAACATAGCCACTTTCAGTTACTACAATGGTTTTCCTCTTGACTGGATGGGAACATTATGTACATATATAAACTGATGCAACTCTGCTATGTAGTGTGCATTTTTGTGGAGTTCTGCACTTTCTGCTCTACATTTTTTACAAAGGGGACAATGTGACTTTTTAAGATTAGTGAATCTTTGGTTGAACTGGGTTAGCACTCCAGAGGAACATCAAGACAATGCCAGAGGCCCACATCTTGTGGATTTGTGGCTGTGTATCCTTGCTTGATTCTTATGTGTTTTCTGTTTGCTTGACTATGTTTTTAATAAATACATTGGAGAAGGAAGTTCCTGCCTGAGATTATTTTGAATCTCAGGAAACACTTATGATAATGGTTTGGATTTTTTGTGAGAATATTTTGCAATATATCTGCTGTATTTAATAATTTTCTATTATTGTACTGTACAATAATAATATGATCATTTATCCATGGAAGGTTTTGGAGAAGGGATGAGATATAAAATTATGTTCTTGTAAAATATAAACAAGCAACGTGCTCATTGGAGTTATTTCTTGCTAAATGTACATTTGAAAATAATTGTGTTTCATTCTGCATTAGGACACCAAAGAAGATCTCAAATCTGAGGAATTCATCTAAATTACTATACATATTAAAAAAACAGAAAGGTCTCTCTCTCTCTTTCTCTCTTTGTTATTTTAGCCCAGTGCATCCCACTTCCTCTTCCAAATGAAATGATATACCCAGTTGGAAGATTATTGCTGTACTTTCCAATAAAAGAAGGCCTAAACAGCCCATGGTGCATTTGTTAATCTCACAGCAAATCTTTTGTTACCTTTTTTTTTCTTACCTGGATTATCCTTATGGAAGATGCAGCAGTCAGTAGAATAAATAAAGTACTGGGTCCCTATAGTCTCCCTGATGGCAACAACAAACTTTCCTTAAAGTCAATAAAAGTTACTTGTATCCTCTGGGTGGGTAGGGAGTGAGGATACAGCCCCTGGATTCCAATTGCTAACAACTTCCAGATAGGGCTGCTGTCAAAATACAGAAGGTCAGGTTTTTTTGACTAATAAACCTTGATGATATCACTTGAATGGAAGACTGGCGAGCTGACAGGTATCCTAGTCTGAATGAATAATCACTTTTGCTTCTCCTTCTGCTTAGCCTTGACTGAAGGGAGGTATCATACTTTTTACCCATCAGACTTACCAACGTGTGACAAAGAAATGATTTTGTAATACTCATTATTTTTGAGCTAGATATAGTAAAGTGTTTTTCCAACTAGAAAGCTGTAGTTTGTGCCTGATTGGTATATGTGTCAGTTCAAACAAATGTACCAATGTCATAACTTCACAATGTTTTATTGTTGGGAAAATGGACACTTGAGCAACAACTGACAGAAACCGTTTAAGGGATGATTAAGCTAGTTAGGGGAATTTTGGGGGGACAATGGAATTTCCAATGCTAATGGAAAATTGTTTGGGAGGAAGAGGATTTGGGCCAAATAAATAAAGTTAGGCCAAGCTGTAACTGGAGGTCCAAACTTAACAGTGTTTGAGTAGCTTTACGTCCAGTGTTAGAGTTTTGGCCATCCTCACAAACAGGTTTGAAAGGGTTAAGAAAATACCCGCACAAAACTTTCACTTTCCCCATTCCAGATTTTCTAATGGAATCCTGTCAGCGTAAAGTTGATGTGTAAAAAGTGGTGAATTAGGCCCAATAACTTCCAACTCGTGGGCACCACCATGAAATTTCATCATTCTCAGATATACCATCTTAAAGAAATGGTACATCCAAAAACAACATTGCAGCATTAGAATGCACAGGGATTGTGACTAGAGCTGGGTAAACAATGCAAAATAAATAAATAAAAATAAAAAATGATGTTAATATTTGCTCAGATTTATAAATGAATTCAATTCACATTCTCTATGCTTGCTCTCTTTTTGTTCACTCCCACAAATATTTGTGCAGTTGTGTTTTACTAGCATCAGTGTTCCTGTAAAGCAAATTTCAAAGTTGCAAGTGCAAGTATTCACAGAAATTGTGAACTTTTGATTAGGGTGTAAGTATTTGCTTTGCATATGGTTGTGAATCATCCTATCAGGGAACGGAAACCATACCTCATTCCTTATCAGGGCGATCATAACCGTATGACCCAAGGTATTTGCCCAGAGATTAGCAGATTGGCCTAACAGTTGGTTAAAGCCTGATATGCAGAGTGTGGTTGAAATTATGGACTCCAGAATTCTGGAGCAATTTCTACAAGGCCGTGCCTGGGTTGGTTAGGAGGCGTCAATTCAAAACCCTGGAGGAGAAGGTCAAACTGACAGAGGAGTTTGTGGAAGCAGATTTTCCCTGACAGGTACATTGTCCATTTAATAAACCTGAACTGGGAAAAGAAGTTTGGGGAAATGGCAGGGGTGAAGCCTGCAGAGAAGAAAATGGAGAACAGAGGAACTCCTTTGGGGAGGTGGGAAATTATCTGCTGACAGTGTGGGAGACAGGCCCCTATACAGACTCTGCGCTGTCTGAATTTTGTGGTTGGACTGGAACCTTGGGAGAGTGCCAGAGAAAAAAAGCAACCATCTTGATGAAGATGGGGGAGGAGATGAGAGAGTGGCCAGGTGTTTGTTGGCTAGGAAAGATGTGGTAAAGTCACTCTGGATCCTACCAGGGAAAGGCTGAGTCTGGAGTGCATCCATGTGGAGAGAAGACTCTACCCAATGGTCAAGATACCCCTAAAGGTCCAGGTTAATTTGAGATAGAAACAACTTGGAGTTGTGGTTAGGTTGTCCCATCTGTTGGTATTAGGGATGAACTGGAACTCCTTCCCATTTAGGAACAAAGTAGGCATCTAGGGTCCATAGCAGAAGGGAACTGAGCCACCGAGAAAGATAAAGAAATGGCTTGAAGTAGGGAAGCAGAAGAACCCTGGACAACAGGATACAAGCCAGGGGGTGAAAGAGGGAAATGAACGTTCCTCAGAAGAAAATGGAAAAAGGGAAGAACTGGCCAAGCAGGCATTGGGGGCGGGGGAGGCAAGAAAGGAAGCCCAAAAGTATCAGAGGAGGATGGGCTGTCCACAGAATGTTTGTTGCCATGGTTTTGAGAGGAGGAACCCTGAGATATGTTGGTAGGACTAGGACAGGGGTAGGCAACCTATGGCACGCGAGCTGATTTTCAATGGCACTCACACTGCCCGGGTCCTGGCCACTGGTCCAGGGGGCTCTGCATTTTAATTTAATTTTAAGTGAAGCTTCTGAAATATTTTTAAAACCTTATTTACTTTACATACAACAATAGTTTAGTTATATATTATAGACTTATAGAAAGAGACCTTCTAAAAATGTTAAAATATATTATTGGCACACAAAACTTTAAATTAGAGGGAATAAATGAAGACTCGACATACCACTTCTGAAAGGTTGCTGACCCCTGGACTAGGAGAACAAGAGACCATAGAGAAAGGAGATGAAGGGATTCACCCTGACCCAAAATAAAAAGGGTGAACGGGAGGAGATTAGATCTTCGAATTGCCTCTGGTATGAAGACCAGTAGACTGAAACTGAATTATGAGGATGTTCCTCCCCTATGAAATATGACTTTTGTGGGTGTAGATGAGATAACCACCCTGGAGGTAAGTGCAGGAAAAGGGCACCTGGTGCCTCCTCTAAAGAAGGGAGGGCATGAGGGAAAAGGAACCTCAGCGTTCGACAATTGGGGAAGATGTGTGACAGAGGGCTGGAAGCTAACAGGTGAGCCAGCACTCTGATCTCTTAGGCACCAAACAGCTCCCCTGGAGAAGGCTCATTGGGGATATGCAGCTAACTAGCTAGTCAGTCTGGGAGAACTGAGGAACCAATTAGCCATCAGCTGTGGGAATAAAAGCAGACACAGGAAAGAAGTAAGGGGAGAGGACCCTGGGCTAGCTGAGCCCAGTATGCTCTGAGATCTTGAGAAAGAGAGACCCTCTGTTCTTCCCCGGTCCTGTGGGAAAGAATCACTGAAAATACTTTGCTGCGCAGGGCTGTACTGGTGTTGGTGATGGGAATATAAATAAATTCACACAAAGTTATCACTGAGGGGTTTCTGTGGCATCAGATCAGAGGAC